TCAGAAAGACAGAAAGAGCAGGTGGTGGAGGGGAGGAGGGCTCGGGCCGGGTACTGATGACTATCGAGCTGGAGCTGACCCGCAGAAATGGGGAGGAGGGGTCCAGCGGTGAGGCAGGGATGGGGAGGTCCAAACCGCTCGGCCTCCTCTCCCGCCTTTCTGACCAGCTCACCTTCAAATAACAGACCAGTAGGGAGATGGGGGAGGGAGCTGTTGAGGATAAGAGAGTGGGAAGTCTACTGAGGAGGCAGCAGGAGAGTTGAACCACAAACCTACTTTACACCCACCACAATGCCAACCTGAGTCCCTGAATAAATGAGTCAAATCATATCTGCTCCGGTCACAGGCCGATGACTGTAGCTGCAGCAGCTATACAGGCCGAGATCTCAGATGCCGTGATAATCTCTTACACCAGCCGGCACCCTGAGTACTTTTGTCAGGTCATAAGATATGCCATTTGAAGCGAGACCCTACGACGCCTGGGTTTGATAACAAAATCTAAAAAAGCTGCTCCCCAGGTTTTGCCTTTCTGCTTCATTTTCATTGTGATGCTATCCGGCGAAAGAGCTTTCTCCAAGTGCGTCCGATATGCATCACGAATCCCCAGCTGCGGGGACAAGCCAATTTGCCTTTTTTTTTTTTTTGTTGAAGGCAATGTGTCAAACTCTAACTTTCTCCCTTCACACTGATCTCCATTCTTTTTCCTCTCCCATTTCTTCCTCTTTTATTGTGAGTTTTCTGACTTTCTTGTTAATTCAAATTACAGAAGTGATTTATATGCTAACTGCTCTATCCTGTTTCTCTTCCTCTCTCACTTCCCTTCCCTCTGTTCTTTCTTTTCTTTCTCCTATAGATAAAGGTCTGACTTCTCCATGACTGCCTCCACTCCTCTAGTCTGCTCCCTTTTCTGCCCAGCCTGATGCAACCCCCATTATTTCTCATTATCTCTACTCTTTCAAGACAGCACTGGCTGTAAGAATAGTCCTACTATATCAGTGGCAACAATGTCAAATAATTTTTATGCCTCATCTGAGATCCTCTACACGCTCATTGGGCTAAAGTCCTAACTATATTCACAACTTCCTTAGGAGGAACCCAAAGACACGCTTGTGTTTAGGGTTGCCTGAATCTTCCCCCTTAATGTTTACGACTCAATCACACACTGAGCGGAGCTGTGAGTGCGCTGTGGACTTCAGGTAGAGAAAAAAAAGACAGAGAGGGAGCAGAGAGTGATAGTGTGAGAGAAATATGATTCCTGCTCTCAGCCGGCGTAGATAGAGGTTCAAGCCCTCAAGCTCAGGGTGATTCAATCCTCTCACATTTGAGCTAATGGAGGTTGTCGCCGTGTCCCTGCCCTGGCTAGAGGGGGCTATTTCTGGCCCTGTAAGAGCGCATGGTCTTACTGTAACAGCTGCACATTTTTAGTGGGGAGCGCTTGCTGTACTGTTTGTGCCTGAATTCACGAGGCTGTCCGCTGTTGACTCGACGGCTGGCGACTGACAAACCAGAATGACGTCACGGCCCCCGAGGGCTGGCGGACGCTCTCAGGAGGCTGACAGAAAGGCTTAGCAGGAAGAGGTGCAGCTTCTGTGCTCTGAGTTATTTTAGGTCCAGTTAATCCGCTTGCACGTTGTTTCTCCTCCCCAGCCCAGGGTTCATTATTTTAACACGTGCTGGTAACGAGATATCTCTCTCTACATCTCCCTCCCTGCCTCCTCTACTGTCTTCACTCCTCTGTTATTTACTCTTCATCTTTGCTCCCATGTTGGGATTCATCTCCTCCCTCCAAACCTCTGTTTCATTCTCTCTGTCCTCACATCTTTGGCTTTCTTTATCTCGTCCTCTTCCTGTCGTCTAGTGACTCTGCACTGCATTATTCCCCCACAGAATAGGCCTATACACAATCCACTCCACTCTTTCAGCCTCTCCTTATCTGACTGCCAGGCCTACGGCTCAAAGCTCTGCTCCCTTCTCCTCTCTCTTCTGTCCTGCCTCCTTCTCCACGTCCTTCTTCTTCTCCTTTACGAACAAGGTGACAGACATCTCTCTTCGCTCCCTGCGTTTTGCCCAATGATCGACACCACCCTCTCACTTGCCCTTCAAAATGCCACCTCCCCCAACAGCATGCCCCCTACAGGCCCACCTTCCCTACTTCCTCCAGCCCTTTACTGTCTTGTTTCTGCTGTTCAAATGCCAAAATGCTTTCCTCCGCCCCCTACTGGCAAAGAACGGAAACACATGGGCAGAAATCTGCCTTGAGTTCTCACTGAAGACGCCAAACAGAAACTTATAATCTAGCTAGCTCTTCTCCGGTCACAAATAGGATGCGTGTTTTATGTATTTGTGTGTCTAGTTAAAGAGTGCTAAACATGAGATTTGAAATAAAGCAACAAAAAAAAAAGCAAAAACAACAGTATGTCACCCTAAGTAAAGCAAATAATGTTTTCTGAGACAGTTTTTACATGTATATGCAAGAAAACATATGGAGAGCATGTTTATTGAAGCAGAAAAGAAATGTAATTGTATTTGATGGACTATGCCATTATATTTCTGACCTTGTGTGTTATGGAAGGTACTGTGTGGCTGTCTCTTTGGCGCACGTTTTATTTCGAGACAAAGGGAAATCAAGGTTGTCGTGTGGTGTCAGACAGAAGATGAGGGGTGGATAAGGGTTCGGTTAGCCTCAGGTTCAGTGCAACGTGGCTGGGGAAAAAAAGGGGAGGAAGGTGCTTGCTGTGGGAGAAAGCTTTGGAAGAAAAGACTTATCGGGTGTATTAAGCCAAGCCAAAAATCCATGTGTACACCACAGATAGTGCCTGCTCTTCCCCCAGAGGTTTCTTTTAAAGGTGCTCCTTCCCCAACCCTGAGCCAAAGATGGTTTGCGATCTGCTTGATATGCAGGGTGGATAGTGTAGACTTGAATGCTCCTTTAAAATTCATAACAAATGGATCACAAACGGAGGTGCTAAAATCCACGTCTTTATAACTGGAGATCTATTTCACTAGTCGCTGTTTAACTATCCACTCAAGTGGATTAGTCAGAATGTTTTCTTCTTTTTCAGCAAAGCCACACAGATACCCGACATAAAACAAACAGCATTAAAATGCCTTTTTAAATGTTTTGTTTGTATGTATTATGAACTGTATTAGTCATAGTTGCACAGTAACATCCCTTTATTTTAAACGACTGGAGCTTCTTACATTTTTTTACATTTATTTTAATGCTTGTGATAATTCCAGACTACTAATAACATTTGATCACTCTGTATAATATGTTGTAAAAAGAACGTAAATAAAAATTAAAGCCTGAAACACAGCTGTTGTCAGCAGGAGACAAAGTAAACCCAGCTGAAAACGGTTTGCAGCCTCCTGTCTTTCTGTTCCAAGTCCCAACCTCTGTGTAAACCTGTCACGAACGTCTCTGCCGAGACGCACTTTCATGAACATTTCAAAGGAAGAAATTCCTTCCAGAATGAGATATCCACCATTTGAAATATTTGAATACTTTGATGGCCGGCATGAAAGTAAAACTCATTATGGAATGGCACTGGGTTTATTAGCTATCTGAATATATTTGCACAAGACCATTTTAGAGGACATAATCTGGAGACTAAATGGTGAACAATGACCACCAGGTGTTCTTCTTTCATATACAAAAGGATTTTGATTTCGAAACTCTTTGGCTCTGTGGTGGCAGCTAAGAGTTAAATTAGTTTTATCTTATCATGCCCCTCACTACTCAACTACCAAAAAGTAATGATGATGAACTCATAAGAAATGCTCAGTAACCACTTGTAACCTGTTCACATTTGAAAGGGTGACAAAGTGAGGTACAATCTTTAGAGAGACAGATTTTTCTGACTTAATGTGCCGACCGGGTTCAGTGAGTATACATAACCTTTTCAGAGAGGCTTCATGTGCAGACAGTTACACAGCCAGTCTTTAACTGATGTCCGCTGACCTGCTCTGCTGCAGCAGCACCTGAATGACAGGGGATGCATGTCTTGCTGTCTGTTTTGGATTTTTCTGCTCAAAGTCAGAAATATTTAAATCCTGTGCATAAGGGCTTTATAGTATAGAATGTATGTGAAAATTTGGGTAGTGCACATATGCATTGACTTACTGAGAGGTAAATATTGGCAAAGATCGCAAAAGTACATACATTCCTTACTCAAGTAGAGTACAGATACCCAAAAAACTACTACTAAACTACTGAAGGAGAGTAACAAGGTTTTTGTACTTTGTTACTTCCCACCTGAATACTGGTTTCACCAACTACAGCGGCTCATACCTACAGCCTGCAGGATTCAAATCATTGCAGTGTAGGAGCAGGCCAAATGTAAAATTAACTATAACAGTATCTGGCAACTGCTGAGAAGACATTTGGTACTTGTGTGACACAGGTTCATTCACTGCATCTGTTGTACTGGTGTAGCAGTGATGACCTGCCTTATGGTTTAAATATGTGGGGCTTTAATATAATTGCCAGATTTCACTGGCTATTTTGAATTCAAGCAGAAAAAAAAATTAATAATATTAAGAATTCATCTTTTATGATCAGTTGACAAATGACTAAACCATTTATCACAGGTTTAGCACAGGTTTATTTGGATAATAAATATGGAGGAGCTTTCCTTTTCATAGCCTGTTATCATGTTTTTGTTTTAAATACTGGAGAATATGTGTTATTTGTTCTGCTGACAGCAAATGAAACTTAGCTGTGTGTCTGATGATTGCTCTCTAAGTGATAATGTGTGTTTTGTGAGGGGGTCAGAGGCCTTATTGAGTAATTGAAGGTATGCGCACAAAAGTCACCTATGGAGGGGTTGTGCAAGTATGTGGTGGAAGTGGTGAGGTAGTGTCTGTGTGCAGAGAAGCCCTGGGATAGGAGTGCATTAATGGGGGGGTTGAATGGCTCAGGTTACCCTGACAGGAGGGAGCAACAAGGGAGGGAATAGGATAGTTGTTGTGGGGAGTGCTAGACCCAAAAAAAGCCACCAGTGTCTTCCAAACGTGGGGACGGGAGGTGTCAGCTGCGGCAGGGCCCCTAAGTGCTGTCTCACTTTATAACCTGCCAACGCCTGGACGTCCAGCATGGGCAGAGGGGTGAGTTGTCTTCATTTTTAAAAAATTGCCTGAAGAAACTTAAGGGGTTTTATGGCACTAAAGCCCTCACTTCCTGTCTGATGGATGAATGTGACTCGGTTTCTGTGTTCCTACTGCAGCTTATGTGCTGTACAATAACATATGGTGTGGACATGCCTCATGGAAAATTACTGAGTTATGTACAAGCATCTGGAGGTTTGGTCTCAGCATCAGAATGCTGCTTTTTTTTTTTAAGAGAGTAACATCTCAGGATGATGGTGTTTCTCTTCAATAAGATTTGTTCCCGGCTTGCTGTTTATTTGTGTAATTACGTAATTTTGCTTTTATTCCCTCCATCAGGCCCATTCCATTTAGCTTTATGTGAGGACAGGCTGGTAATATTACTCACACGCACTGGGGGGAAATTGCTATGCCAGACACATTTCAAGCACTCTACAGGTTCTGTGCTCCCTCTTTGGCTCTTTTTGATTACTTTTTGCTCTGTCACTCGCTGAAACTCTCCTCTAATTCTCTCTGTATAGCCCTCCTTCACTGACATGCACACGTGCTGCTAAAAGGAGACTGACAGCAGCAGATGAGTTCCATGATTCACCGCTCT